CCCCCCCCCGTAGAGCTGCTGTCAGCCTGCTCAGCCGCCACCAGAGAGCCCGAGGCTGACAGCACCAGTCCCCAAAGCAATTAGCGCGCTTTAATTACACCTTCAAGCTTCTGCGGCGCTGAATCACCAGGCAAAAGTCACAGCTGACAAAGGTTAACTTTGGCCTCCTCCCCCTCTCCCTAATCTCCCCTTTACGGCCCAGTTCTGGGGTCGGCAGCAGTTAAACTCTTCGATTAGGGCGATCGCGGTCACCGTGCCAAGGGTGAAAAGTGGCCAACTGCAGCAGGGTGATCTAATCGATCACACCCACAGGACTCGCTGCCCCAGAACAGTTCGAGACGCCAGGAGGCCGTTCATCACATCTGGCCTGGTTGATACAGTAGCTAGTCATTAATTAATCCAAGGATCTCGTCCAGCTGATTCTGGAAGGAAACCAGGGTATCGGCTGCAACCACAAGGCCGGGTAGTGCGTTCCACACTCCCACCGCCCTTTGTGTAAAGATATCTTTAATGTCTCCTCTTTTAAGTCTGCAGCTCCCTCCTTTCCGGACAAGGCATTTAATTACATGTAGTGTAACGACTGTGTCATATTCGGAGGACCGTGATTGTAAGGACATGTTAATTGGTCAAATTGAACTTGTAAGTATTTGAAATGGTTAGTCGCCCATTCAGGCATTCAGTCCTAATGAGGAGAGCCTTACTGGTCTCCTGATATTAGTGTTCAACGATCCAATAACAAAAAGCTATCTGGGACAGCCTTTTAGAGAGTGAGGTTCCTTTATTGTGGAATATTCTGAATTACTACTGCTTTTTTGGCACATTATGACAGCAGATTGCGATAATATTATAAGTCACAACAGTTCATACCTACAAGACAACATCCTTAGCTATACCGCCTGTTGCAGAAAAGCAGAATGGTGCTACTGTTAATCCATGGCAAAGCCAATTAGTGGAAAGATGGAAGTCGTCAAACAAAAAAGAATGGAGAAACCACCACGCGTGGTGTACACTGCTAAACTCTCCTCAGGGACAGCAGGCAGATTGTGTGCAGAGAAACAGCCGACAGAGGAGCCCACACATCTGTGGGGCCTTGGCGCTGCTCTGTTGAGTGTCACCCGCAATTAGAATCAAGGCTCCTAATGGGGGCCGACAGCTCGTCGAGCCAAACGAAGCAGAAAAGCCTCAATGGGTTTGGACAAGCTGCGCAGTGGCGACTGTCAGGGGTCGAGACCGTTTAAACGAGACCAGGGAAGACTCGCGAGTTCAGTCCCGATGAGGCCCCAGCAGAGAGAGGGGAAGGCGGTGAGAGAGAGGCAGGTGAGGAATATAAGATTAGAGCTCAGAGGCACTTGTGGGAGAGGGTGGTTATCCAGTGAGGGGAAGAGCAGGGTTCAGAGACACTGTAGGGGGGGGGGGCGGTTTGAGGGAGGGGGGGCAGTGTAGGTAAGATCAGAGCTTAGAGGCTGAGGCAGGGAGGCGGAGGGAGGGAGGCTGTGTCAAGTCATGGAGCCGAGTGACACAGCGAGAGAAACAAAGAGAAAGAGAGAGAGAGAGA